ATCCTCCTGGTAAATGACAAGGCTGAGGAAGAGGCTCTGTGACTTGCTCAAGCTCGTTCAGCTTACAGCACAGTTCGAGCTTAGGTCTGTGTGTGTCTCTTCAAGCCTGAGCCCTTCCATGTAGCAGCCATGTGGCCCACCGGACCCTGTGTCCCTCCCAGCTATGTGTGGGCATCTCCTCTTTGTCGTCTGCCCTCTGCCAGGCTCAACCCGTGTCCCTTGCATCCTCTGAACCTGCCTCTCTCCATGTACCAACAGGTTGGTGGGACGAAGACCGGTGTGGTTCGCTATGTTGGGGTGACGAACTTTGCCAAAGGCGAGTGGTGTGGCGTGGAGCTGGACGAGCTGCTGGGGAAGACTCTCCTGTTCTGCCCCATCTCTCCAACACAGGGTTACAGGCATAGGTGGCCACACCCACCTTTACATGAGTGTCAGGGATTTGAACTCAGGCCTGCATGTTTGTGGCAAAAGCATTCTTACTCACTGAGCCATCACCCCAGAACCATATCAGAGTGACGTCTTTCATCACTCTCCACCTTCTTCTTCTTGTGGTAGGCTCTGGTAATGTTGCTTTGAGACAAGGCCTCACTGTGTAGCCCTGCCTAGCCTGGAACTCTCTGTAGACCAGGCTGACCTTGAACTCACAGAGACCTGCCTGCCTCTGCCTCCCCAGTGCTGGTGTGTGCCACCAGGCCTGAGGCTCACCTTCTGAGGCAGGCTCTCTTACGGAATCTGACGGTACAATCTGGAGAGACTGTCTGGCCAGGGAGTTCTGGGGATCTGCGGGTCTTTGCACAGCCTGTGCTGGGTTCACAGACGTGCGTGAGCACGCCTGTCCTAATGCTTGGGATCTGAACCCAGACCCTTGCACAGCATGCACTTTGCGAACCGAACCGTCTCCCAGCTCCCACCACACGATGCCTTCCGAGACTTGTTTGTGTTTTCAGGCACGAGATGCATCACCATGGGAACTGGATGTGTGGGCCCCGACTACCATCTCACACAGATATAAATAAACCTCATTTCCCTTAGTGAGACAGTAACTGCAACATGGCTGACTGCCCAGAGCAGATGCAAATGGGGGTGTCAAGATTGGGGGGTGCTGCCAGCATGGAGGAAGGAAGGGCCATCCAGAAACTGTCATCTTTTGGGAAGAGGGTGACAGGGCCAGCTCTGGGTCCCAGCAGGAGACCCAGGAACCAGACAGGCCCTGTTTCTCTGACGGATGAACACGCCTGTACGTTTCCAAGACCCTCTGGATCTGCAACAGTGTGCCCCTGTCCCTGACCTTAATGAAGGGCTTCTAGGAAACCAGGAGGAATTGGGGGAACGTCTGATCCAACCTTGGGGCAGTCTTGAAAACTGATGTTTGGGTCAGCAAGATGGCTCAGCCAGGAAAAGCGCTTGCTGCAAAGCCTGCAGACCTGAGTTTGACCCCCAGGACTCACACGGCGAAAGGAACCAATGCCCCCGAGGTTGTTTTCTGACACTCACACATGTGCGCCCCCTCCAACTCACAATTAGATGCTAATTTTTTTTTTTTTTTTTTTTTTTTTGCTTGTAAGTGATGGACATGCCAGGCGCAGTGGTGCACACCTGTTATCCCAGCACTCGGGAGGCAGAAGCGGAAGAATTGTGAACTAGAGGCCAGTGTGAAATGCACAGGGAGACCCTGACTCAAGGGGAAAACAAAAATGGGAGTGGAAGCTGGGGAGAAAGCTCGTTCCGTGAGGTACTTGCCAGGTGTGACGGCTAAACTGTCACTGAGGCAGGCCTTCGAGGGGATCTTCTCCTCAGATCAGTGCTGTGGGAGAACCAGGCGTACCACTGGGCCACATCTGCTGGCAGCCCATAGCAGAGCACATGGAAGAAGGAAGCCTGCTTGTCTTCACTCTCGCTGGCATGCTCATCTGCCCTTCAGCGGGGGCGTTCCTTTCCCGGAATCAGAACCTACTTCCTCAGGATTCCAGCACAGACTGAGGGCCAGCAGCTCTCCAGGCGTCCTCTAGGACTCCATGCCAGACTGGGGCTGCTGCTAAGACATCCAGGCTCATGGCCTGAACAAGTACCAGATTTTTGGCCTTTTGTAATTGCTGGCATACCTGAACTGTAATAAATCAAACACAAACACACAAGCGCACACGCACACATTCTATCAGTTCTGTTCCTTTAGAATAAGACTCAACTTTGATCCTCACAACAAGCTGGGCATAGTGACGCACGACTCAGGATGCAGAGGCAGGTGGATCTCTGTGAGTTCGAGGTCAGCCTGGTCTATACTGTGAGTTCCTAGGCAGCCAGGGCTACCCAGAGAAACCCTGCCTCAAAACAAACAAACAAAACACGTGGACATTGTAGCATATGCATCTAGAGTTCCAGCTTTGGGAAGGTGGAGACCGGAGGGTTCTTGGGGCTCACTGGCCAGTTGGCCTGGACTATTCGGTGAGCTTCATCCTCAAAAAATGTTGTCTTAGAGACATGACATGTAAGAAACAACACATGAGATTAAGCTCTGATCTTCCATACAAGCGTTCACATCCACCCACCCACATACCACGGTACACACACACACACACACACCACAAGAACAGAACAAATCAGATGGACACATGTCATTGTAGGAGGCAGCAGGGAGCAGTGTCCCCACTGACTCTCTTCCCTGTGACCACAGCTTCCCCTATAGCATAGGGTACGGCACCTGCTGCTCCTACCCGCCACACTGAGAGATGACAGGCCCAGTACTAGGCTGCCTCCCATCCCGGGACATTTTGGGCGACACTGCCTGCTGCCTGTTCTGGTGGTCCTCAAGTTTCCTCACACGTAAAGCTGTGGGTTCCACATGTGGGACCCTGCTGACGGGACATTCTATGGCTGTGAATGGGCTTCCTATGAGGTGGCGAGGACGCACACTCCCTGATATGCGGCTCCTCAGGGTCACCCCCAGTACTTGGGTACTTGCCCCGTGACAAGCCACCGAGCGGCAAGGACAGCTGACTCTTTCCAGTGTTCAAATGTGGGGTGCTTAGCTCCAGTTGCTGTGAACACCGGGGACCCAACTGAGGAGGTAGCCCACCGTCCCACTTACAGATGGGGCCACAGACCAGACTCCGACCCAGTGTCACGGTTGCTGAGGGTAACGGGGCCTCGGGACAGTTACAACCCACAGCCTGGACAGATGGAAAGAGCACTTGCTGCCCCTCCAGAGACCTGAGCTTGGTCCCTAGAACCTTCATCAGGCCCCTCACAATCGCCTGTAACTCCAGCTCCAGGGGAATCTAACAGTCCTCTGGCCTCCAGACCCAGATACCTACACACACACACACACACACACACACACACACACACACACACTATTTAAACAAACAAACCAATCCAATATTAAAGTCAGCCTCAGACCAGTTCAGCAGGGCCCCTAGCACGGAGCTCTAGCTCAGTCCTTTCCTCAGAGAGTTTGGATAACAACTTGCTGTGTAGGTCTGGCAGAAATGAAACATGCTATGTAAAAGACTATCCTCAAACTACGTGCAATCCTCCCGTCTCAGTCTCCTTAGTACTGGGCTTATAAATGTGAGCCACACCTGGCCCAAACCATTGCTTTAAAGAAAAACAATCCTTCTCACTCTCTGAGAAAGGGTCTCATGCGGCCCAGGCTGGTCTTAAATTCACTATGTAGCTATCACAACCTGAACCCCTGATCTTCCCTCCTTTGAGGGACTCTGAGATGATGCCATCTGGCTGGCAGGTGCCCGCCCCTCACCTCCTCTCCTCCTCCAGCTGATTGGACAGATCCACCTTCTCTTTCCTCACGTTCTCCACCAGCAACCGTGCGCGCTGCAGCTTCTCCTCCGCTTCTGCAACATACTGACCCAGAGCAGGGCCAGGAGAGGGTCCGGTCAGTTCCAGCCTTCTGCAGGGGGCAGGACAGGGGCAAGGGAGGTACAGTGGAGGAGTTCCAGCTTGAGAGGGGAGCCAACAGAGAAGGCAGCAGAGGCCCCATGCCTGGGGTTGGGGACCCTAGGGCCCTCTGAACGTATAGGTAAGGTTGGCTTTATTGTCTTTTAAAACATCAAGCCAGGCGTAGTGGTATAGCCCTGTAATCTCAGCACTCCAGAGAAGCAGGGGTGGTGGGAGGGAGCTGAGGCAGGAAGATCTTGAGTTTGGCTAGCCTGTGCTACACAGTAAAACTCTGTTTCAAGAAAGAAAGACAAGGAGAAGGAAGCTGGGAACATGGAGGAACATAGGCTTAGCGTGCCCAAACCCTGAGGCTGGGTCTCTATTATCGTACAAATACGTTCATACAAACATCAGAATTAAGAACAGGATAGCTAAGTGCCCATTCAATAAACCCTAGGCTTGGGGGAAGGGGCTGTGTCTCTCTCTCTGATAGATCTCATGGATCTGTGTGCCCCAAAGCACTATCTGAAACATGAACAGTCCTAACCTAGAGAAGACCATTTCAGTTAGGAATCTGGACACAATGTGGTGAATTTCAACAAACTGCAACACTGCGTGTGTGTGTGTGTGTGTGTGTGTGTGAGAGAGAGAGAGAGAGAGAGAGAGAGAGAGAGAGAGATGCTGAGGTTTGAACCTAAGGCCCTGTACCATGAGACAAGTGATCCACCACTGAGCTACCCATGCTCAACCCCTCAACCCCACTACTTCAACTATCACCAAACAGAGGAAAATGGCTGAGTGGGTGCAGGCCCCAGCCTGATGACTGGAGTTCAGTCCCCAGTGTCTACATGACGGGTGGAGAGGACAAATGCCCCAAGTTGTCCTCTGAGCTTCGCGTGCACATGGTGGCACTCAAAATCCTCTCCCACGGAATAAGTAAATTAAAATGTACCAAAAGTTCTTAGAAAGCAGAAAAATCTTGTGGGTAGTGGTGGTACATGCCTTTAATCCAAGCACTTGGGAGGCAGAAGCAAGCAGATCTCTGAGTTCTAGGACAGCCTGGTCTACCAGTCAAGTTCCAGGACAGTTAGGGCTATACAAAGAAACCCCATCTTGAAAAACAACAACAACAAAAGTAAATAAATAAATAAATAAATAAATAAATAAATAAATAAATAAATGGAGAGAGAGAGAAAGAGAGCAGGAGGGAGGGACAGTTAGCTAGGTATGGTGACTCATATCTGTAATCCCAGCACTTGGGAGCAGGAGGCAGGAATGCAGAGTTTAAAGCTAGACTGGACAATACAGTAAGCTCCAGGCCAGGCCAAGCCAGCCTGGGTTACAAAATGAGACTGTCTTAAAACGAAAAAAAAAAAAAAAAAAAAGAAAGAAAAGAAAGAAAAGAAAACAAAACCAGAAAAGTATGTTTCCCCAACCTAGTAAATGCTGGTGCTGGAATATTAAAAGCAGGAAGCACAGATTTAAAGGCCAGTTCTGCACTTAATCTTGACCAAAGGGCTGAGAAGTAGTTACGGGTTTCCTTCCAAGATGGGGTCCCTTAAAGGAATCCTGTCTTGGAGGGAAAGTCTGTTAAAATGCAGAATGTTCTAAAGGGAAGTAAAACAGTCCAACTTGAAGAGAAGCTTGTGAAAACTCAGAAAATGAACAACTCAATAGGTTCAGAAAGTCCCTGAAACTGACAAGGTTCACTGGTGCCCTTCCTCCTAAGCTTATATATGCAGGGAAGAGCTCTCAAACAAGACAAGGGCCTGTTAGAAGCCAGTCACCTGAGCTCACTAACAGAGACCCTTTTCAGGCTGTTGAGCTGGCGAAGGTTACACTATGTGCATGCGGTTTCCAGCTTTCATGAGCACATGTTGCCTCTCCAGCCCCGTGGGAAGAGAGGTTCCATGCACCCCGGAGCCCGCCAGCAGCCCACCTGCTCATGCTGTGCCTTCAGCAGGGCGATTTCCTTCTCCACCTCACAGATATGGCTGGTGGCCTTGGCTACTTCGGCCCTCTCCAGGTCCCGCTCAGCCAGCAGCTGTTCGATGTGCTGCTGTTTCTCCTTCAGTGCCTCCTGCAGAGCTGTCGTACCTGAGATCTTCCGGGCATAGCGTGAAGAGGTCTCCGTGAGCTGCAGAGTAGGCGTGGGTGGGATTCAGGACACCTGTGGTGTTGTAGCTCAGCTTGCTCCCAACTGGCCCGACATATCCCCAGGATACCCTAACTTGCTGATTCACCTCAAAGGCAACTTGATGGCTGAAGAGTCAGCCTTTAACAGAGCTGAGGCACCTTGGTCAGATCCACCATAGGCCAAGCTGTACTGAAGTCCCTCTGCCCAAACCCAAGAGGACTCCTCTTTTCTTTTTACCTAGGGTCCTTGCGACAGTCTTCTGGAATTCTCTGTCTGTATCTACCCCACACTGTTTACCCAGAAAAGGTGGCCAAGAAATCAGCCACATTAATAACAAAAAATATAAATAGATCATTTTTTCTTATGAAGAGTTCACACTCCCCTACCCACAACCCCAACTGAGGGATGCCTGGAATCAGAGGAAGCTAGGGACAGAATAGGACACTTGCTCCTACCTCCACCGTTAAATAAGAGTTCTCCAATTCTTGAATTCTACCCTTACCAGGCCACTACGGCTGGGCCGGCCACCAACAGAGGAGGCCACAGAGCTGACAGAGCTGATGGAAGAACTGCTGGGGCTGTGGGTCAAGGCAGAGACACCCATAGCCATACGCTTGGTCTTCTTGGCCTTGGCTGGACTGGTAGACGGGAAACCAATTCGGATGACCTTGTGGATAGGTGCAAAGAGACCAAACTTGGGTGGGCACTGGAAGTACCTGCGGAACAGGATAGAGCTACAGTGATGCTGTCATTATTTGGGGTCTCTCCTGCTTCCTACTCTCTGTCAGAGCCCAAAAGGTACAGGTGTCTCCTCAGACCTTGCCAGCCATATCCCAAGGTGAAAGTCCTCCTGACAGAGGAGCCAGGAATGGCGGTGCACGCCTGTAAGACCTACACTTGAGAGGCGGAGGCAGGTGATCAGGAAGACAGGACTGACAAGAATTTACAGCTGTGAACAGCTCTGGGAATATTAAGAAACTTGCTGGCACTGGGCAGTGGTGGCTTACACCTTTAACACCAGCACTCAGGAGGCAGAGGCAGGTAGATCTCTTTGAGTTCGAGGCCAGCCTGGTCTACAAAGTGAATCCAGGACAGCCAAGGCTACACAGAAAAACCCTGTCTCGAAAAATAATAATAATAATAATAATAATAATAATAATAATGAAGAAACTTGCTGTCCATCACACAGGAAATATAGCAGAAAAATTAAGATGGGACTTTCTGGGCTGCACTGCTCAAAAACCTTACAAAGTATTTAGAGTACCCCAGCTTTAACCTCAGTTGATATTGGTTTAACTGGCCCCCCAACCAGTTCTCTATCTATGGGGGTCCTCTGAATAGAGAAGAAACATCCTGAAGGAGAGGGGCATGGGGGCAAGAGGTTGAGGAGTTTGAAGCCAGTCTCTGCTACTCAGTAAATTAGAAACCAGCTTAAGCTACACAAGACTACCTCAAAGGAGGAGGAGGAGGAGGAGGAGGAGGAGGAGGAGGAGGAGGAGGAGGAGGGAGAATAAGAGAGTGCAGGATACCTGCAGCTCTTTTGCATCACTCAGGAAAAATGAGGTAACAGAGATGGATGCTTCCGCCTTCCCATTATTCCGGCCTAACTCAGCCCTGTGCTGTGTGGCAAAGGGAACAAAGAACAGAGGGACTCTCAGTACTTGCCTGTGACAATAACCTCTGGCCTTAGTTCTCCTGTCAATCAAATGGGATGTTGATTCCCTCTGCCTAGCCCGACAGGATGTTAGGAGGAGGAACTTGTGGGTCATGGTGTCTGGCAAGCATACCCACCCTATCTGCGACCCTTCTGAGGACCCCC